TCGGCTGTTGGTCTATTAAGGCATTATTTCCCTCCTCACACATTTGATCTGAGCTGAGAGGAGTGTGTGACATTTCCAGCACAGATGGCCATGTTACTTCTAGGCCCATTTCATGCTAATGAAACAAAATTCCACTGTTTGTCCAACACATGGAGCAACTCTAGCACATGCTCCTCCTCAACAATGCCATCCAAATGTGTCTTGACCCCGAGACAAAATTACCTCTTAGAAAAAGGCATGAAGAGTTGGTTCCAGTGGCTGGAAGCTGAAGCTAGAGTAATTCAGACGAGAAGCAAGGCACAATCATTTAACAGTGAAGATGATAAACCATAGAAAGAACTCATGTTGGAGTGACCATCTCTTGGCATTCTTCCATCAGGAGCAGTGTAGTATGTTGAGACCATGAAAGAAAAATTGGGTATGTCTACACATGCAACTAATGTGAAGCTAATGAAAATGTATTGTGCCTGAGAGCAATAAACTCCAAAGTTTATTGCCATTTGCATGTGCACCCAGGATTGCAGCATGTTAAGCCAGGTCAAAGCAGCCCTAGGGGTCAGCCTGCCAGCCTCCCTGACTCAACATACTGAGGAGGACCTGGCTGGGGCACAAGGGTGCTTCAGGGTGGCGCTAACAGGCAGGCAGCCCACCCACTGAAGCACCCTCAGGCCCCAGCCAGCTAGGGCAGCATCTACATTTGTGCTGCTGCAGAGTTTTTTACTCCACAGTAGGATAGCACTTGTATTCTATTGCAGGTGTAGACGGGATCTTTGGATAGTAGAGTGGAATGGCTAAGTACAGACAATAGTGCTCTAAAGCTGTGTAGACCTATGGACTGGGTTTGCAAAGCAGCTATATGAATTCTTTTGAATCCTGACTGAGACCCCAGATGACCCTACTGTGACTTTCACATCAGCACCCTGGATATGTGCGCTCCTGGGGAACAGTGCTAACTCCAGCAGTTTGACCTAGCTCTGTCATGTTAGCTGGTTTCTTTTGCAGACCCCAGCACATTGGCATAAAAAAATCATACTTGTTTTCCTGCCAATGAAGGTGCTAAAGGCGTCCATGCTTACCTTTTCTGACTGCAGAAACCTTGGGAAGTATTCTTGCCCTTGCTATTGCTCACAGCCAGTTAAAGTTACATGGGTTATAAGAATATTTTAGTGTCCAGGAAAGATTTCCTAGAATAAAGTCCTCCTGTAAGCAGACTTAGTGGGACTAAATCTCTTAGAAATGATATAAAAAGAACCATTCAACTGCATTTGGCTGAAGCTTTGGCCTACTGGAATTAGCTCTCAGACAAATTAAATCCATACTATAGAGACAATTGGGGCTATAATTATGCAGTTTAGGCTGCAGCCAGGACTCCTTTGAACAGAAGGATCTTGTGCTTCCCTTGCAATGAGAAAAATTAAACTAGTAGGGTTTTTCCATGTCTCATTTCTATCATAGGCAGTATAGAGCATGTATCTCCCATCTTCAGAAAAGGGAGGAAGGAGGACCTGGGAAACTATAGGCCAGTTAGTCTCACCTCGATCCTAGGCAAGCTGTTTGAGAAAATTATTCTGGCACACATCCATGAGGGGCCAGCAGGGGACTGCATGCTTAGGGGCAACCAACATGGGTTCATCAGTGGCAGGTCCTGTCAGACCAACCTGGTGGCCTTTTATGATCAGATCACCAGATCATTAGATGCAGGGGTAGCAGTGGACAT